TGTAGGAGGCCTACAAGCTGGTTGGTTCCACTCAAAAATCTCTCGGGCCAATCGATTTACCCGAAATCGGCTAAACGGCGCTATACTCGCAACCCCGCATCATATTAATTCTCATAATTTTCCAAGGGTTTTCTCGCGATAAATAATTCTAATAATTCCATTTAAAATGAGGTTTAGTGTGGAAAAGCCCTCACAAGTGACCAAATATAGCCCTACAAAAATCTAAGCCCAACTAGGCCAATTTGGGCTTCTCGGGTGGCCTGGGCACGTGGTCGTGTCACCGGGCACATGGCCGGGCCTGACCGGGCAAATAGCCAGGTACGTCGCCGGGCCACACGGGCACATGGCCGGGCGCGAGACCAGGCCACACGGGCGCTGCGCCGGACCGCACGGGCAACGTGCCGAGCGGCTTGCCTGGTCGCACGGGTGACGTGCCTAGTGCCTTGTCGGCCGCATGGGCAACGTGCCGAGCGCCACGCCTGGTCACACGAGCGAGGGGTCGGTTCACGGTCAAACACGCGTAATGGCTCATGAATGGCACGATGCACGGCTCATGGCCATATTTCTTGAGCACGGGACGAGATCGGAACCGGATCTTACGTGTACAACACCTGGCACAAGGGTCAGGTACAATGGCCGGCACACGACCGGACACGTAGCCGGTCCATGGCCTGGCTGACGGGCACGATGGCCTGTCATGACCGGGCACATGGCCTTGGCCGGCGCGACTGGTAATTTTGCTCAGGCCGCAACCAAGCCACTAGGCACATGGCCTGGCACATGTCTCGTCCATGGCCTACCCAACTCAACGCAACGATCCGTGACCAAGCCACGTTCGAGTATCAACGACCCATGATCGACCCTCGGTTGTCATGTAGCCTCGTGAAATCCAGTACCCCGGAATTTAACTCATGGTCATCCGGGACTAATGCATGGCCGTGCGGTATCACCCGCGACCGACACATGCCGACACCGGACTGATCCACAGTTATCCTGGACCGTTCCACTAGCGGCCCTTATGGTCGAAGTGTCATTCTACAGTCATATTACTTTAATCATTTGCGTAGTCAGGGGGTCATTCCACTGTCGATCCCTAGGCCAATTCAAGGACAATCTTTCGATCGAACCATGATCAACCCTCAGTACACTCGTTCCGATCATGCTGTCCATTTCATTACCAACCCTCGGCTCGAGTTATCCGCTCATCCAGCTATTACTAGCCATTGGCTTCCTAGGCCTGAAATCGGGGATGTCACACATATATGGAGAGATATTAAAATAAAAATACATTCGAAAACTCCTGCGTCAAGTCACGTGACAAAATCGTGCTATGTCACGTGGCCGTCACATGGCAAACAGAGAGAGGTAAAGGGGACTGCGATGGCCACCCCTGCGGCAAAATTCTTTCCCGCTCTCTACTTCGCTCTCCTTCTCAAACCCTAACCACGATGAGTTCCTCGGACGACGACGACGACGACCCAAAGCTCCCTCACGACGTCGCCGTCAAGGTCCTGAAGCGGTTACAGGTGAAATCTCTTCTCCGATGCAGGTGCGTTTGCTGGTCATGGCGTTCCGCCATTGACGACCATTGTTTCGTGGCCTTCCACCTGAGCCACTCCGCTCTCGGTGCCTCCAATTGGTACCTCAGGTGTCTAGATTGGTACGCTCTCCTGTGGTCTCTGTTTCCCAACGAATCTCTTGCTTTGCCTTCCCAGTCATAAATTGAAATTCCGGTCGTTACTTTTCTCGGCTGTTACATGATTGTTGGTTGGTGTGATGGTTTGATCTGCGTCACGGAAACGTTCATTAATGGGTACGGCCGGACGATGTATTTGTGGAATCTGTTTACCGGAAAGCACAAGGCGGCTCGACGATCCGATCCGGGCCATTCGTCTCTTTTCATGGCGACTACTTATGAAGCTCTAGGGTTTGGCTTCGACGCTAGGTTGAATAACTATAAGATTGTACGGATTCTCTTTCTTTTAGATGATGGTCATCCATGCTTTGTGGGGACAAAGGCTCGGATCCAGATTTATTCACTCAGTACAGATTTTTGGATAAGTTTGGAGCGTGAGCTTCCTGCTTTTTGCGACGACGAACCCGCGGTCTTCTTGAATGGGAATCTGCACTGGATTGCTTTCAAGTTCGATGTTGTGCACAATGAGAGTAAATACGGATCGATACTCAGGTGAGGTGCTTGATGAAATGGCTCTGCCGCAAGAGACTTTTCACAAAGACAATGACGGTGTAATAGTGTATGCAGGAGTGTTGAATGACCTGCTGGCTGTGCTTATTAGCCATGGAGCTATGTCCAGCAGAACCGCATACCATTTGTTCCATTTGGGTTATGAGGGAATACGGCGTGCCTGAGTCTTGGACTAAGCTGTATTCTTTTGAGGCTTGTGGACTAGTAACAAGATTTGATGGCTCTACGGGGAATGGTGAGCTTCTGATGGAAATAAATGGTAAAGAACGAGTTTCTTGGGATCCAATCACGGGACAATACACAAATCTTCCGCTATCGACGCGCTGCAAGTTGGTCACTGTCGTAGAGAGCCTCGCTTCACTCTAGAGATGATTTAATGGATAAAACATTTACTGGTATGTCACATTGATTCTGCTTGCAGAAGAATTGAAAGGGACATGAATTTAGAAGGAATGATTCTACACATATTCGGCCCGGCCACAAAATATCCACCAGAAGGGGTGAGGTGGTGTTCATCTCTGCTATTGGTACTTCTTGCAAGTTTTAGAATGCATATATGCATTTTCACATTTAGTTGTTCTTGTTAGACTAGGCAAAGTGTGTTCTCTACAATTTGCACACAGAAGAACTTTGCATTTTAGTGGCCCAAATCAAAACTCGTCAAAACCCTGAAAACGAAATCTAATCTGATTTCGCCATATGCTTGCATATAAATAGTCATGAGCTCTCTGTTTCTTAAGAAGTGATGGAGAGCGAAGGGATATGAGATGGCCGGAGCTAGCATTTACAGCCAGAAAAAATCGACGGGGTTTTGGTTCTTTATCCCCCTTTTGTTGCAAAACGTGAGCGTGGTTATGAGCAGAGAGTGATGATGGTTTTTAACAGAAGGATGAGACGAGGAGGAAATGAACAAACAAAGCTGGCAATAGCACAGAGAGAGAGAGAGGACTTGGCTGAGTCCCACTGAGAGATTTATTGGAGGTAACACCAATATGTTGGGGGGGAATGGGGACAATGCTAAACAAACGCCTACATGCTTATAAAGTCAAGTGCATACAAGCGTGCATAAGTAGCATAAATAATATGTTTAAAATGAAATAGTAAGATTGTATACACGGTGTGCTTGTTATTATCTAAATAATTTAATGATTGGGATTATAAAAATCAAATCAATACGAAAATCAAAATTGCAATGGACTGTTGTCCCATTGAAAAGGGTCACCCTCGTGATCAATTATATTAGGTCTGCTTGTGGTTTACTCTGGACTATAGTTCCGAGACATTTTTAATTTAGAGAAATTTTGTTCAACTCCAAACTACTAAAAGAATCATCTGTGAACCCCAATAAATAAATAAAAAAGATGAGTGCTTAAGACATTTAACTGGTGAATACCATATTTTCATCAAAATGCACCTTCAAAAGTTCATACGAAAAAATCACATATGGTTTGATCCAAATCAATAATTCTAATTGAAATGCAAATGAAATTTAGTGAGTAAGAAGAAAATATAGAAAAAGATTAGCAGGATATAGAATGAAATACAACAAATTGAGATGAAAGACTTGACAAAAATGAGTATATCAATTTGTCGAGTCATTTTTTCTCTTTTTTATAATCTTTAAACACCCCTAAATTCGGAAGATGGCCATATAACTTGTTTAAATAATGTTGGCCGATTGATTAGACATGATGACATGCTTTCTAATTTCATTTTACAAGGATGGGTAGCTATGTTTTTTAATTCCGAGTAAATAATTTTATGCAATTGTTCCATTTACTTTCAACTCTTTAATATTTTCCCATCATAGTGTTGTATTTCTGAGGTTCAATTTAATGGGTTTTTGCCACAGTTCTGAATTAACAATCTCACACCACATAAAACTCAAAAGGCTACCATTTTTAGTCGGGACAAAAGTCAGGATATGATAAAAGTGGTTAATTGAGGCATTACGGATATTTTTCATTCTTATTTCCATAATTAATCTATTTTCATCAAATAAAACTTGAAACTTACGGTCCGAGTAATTTTCGGTTGCCACCCCAAGATAGACTGTGAGTGGTCACTAAAAAATTAACTTTTCTTCTTTGTCATTATCGTCCCTTCTTCTGGCCTCGGTTTTAGACACTTCCGTTGCTATGTGAAAAATGCAACCGCGGCTAATCATATTCTCTTTCTAGAGTGTCGGGCGACGGTGGGTTTGTCTCCGCACAGCCTCTCTCAAGCTCGGCTCGCTTCCCAATGCACACTCTCTCTCTCTCTCTCTCTCTCTCTCTCTCTCTCTCTCTCTCTCTCTCTCTTCTCCAATCGTCCTTTCCTTTCTAGCCCGAACGCTGCTCGTGTCCCGTTCCGTCTCAATCACGATTGAAGCTTCGCTTTCTTCGGCCCCCGCCGGTTCTCCGTCTCTGCCGCTTCCGACTCTCCAGGTTCTGGCACGTGCATCTAACCATTGTCGGCCGCAAAAAAAATTTCAAGTTTTAAGAAATGATAAAAAAAAAAATTAATAAATCTTTTATATGTTAATTGGTTTTCATGCACTCGCTACCTTTGCCGCGGTAAAGATACTCGGGGGCTAGTAATGTATCTAGGCTATATATGGAGAAGGATATTAAAAGAAAAATACTGTGGTAAGTCAGCAGGAGAGGAGAGCGTACATTAGGAAATTCCCGTGTCAAGTCACGTGACAAAATCGTGCAACGTCACGTGGCTGTCACGGGGCAAACACAGCACAGAGGCAAAGGGGACCGCGACGGCCGCTACTGTAGCAAATTCTTTCCGGCTTTTCTACTTCGCTCTTCTTCTCAAACCCTAACCACCATGAGATCCTCCTCCTCCGACGACGACGACGAAGACCCGAAGCTCCCTCACGACGTCGCCGTCGAGATCCTGAAGCGGTTGCCGGTGGAATGTCTCCTCCGATTCAGGTGCGTCTGCCGGTCGTGGCGTTCCGCCATCGACGACCCTCGTCTCGTGGCCCTCCACTGGAGCCACTCCGCTCTCGATGCCTCCAATTGGTATCTCGTGTGTCTAGATTGGTGCGATCGCCTGTGCTCTCTGTTTTCCAGCGAGTCTCTTACCCTGCCTTACCGGTCGCGAATCGAAATGCCCTTTGCTACTCCTTCTGGCTGTTACGATTTCGTTGGTTCGTGTAATGGCTTGATCTGCGTCGCAGAAGTTTCCGGATATGGCTATTGTAAAGCGATGTATTTGTGGAATTCGTTCACCAGAAAGCACAGGGCGGTTCCACGATCCGGTCTGCGCCATCAGTTTTCTTCCATGGAGGCTGGTCATGAATATCTAGGGTTTGGCTTCGACGCCGGGTCGAACGACTATAAGATTGTGAGGATTCTCTATTCTGAAGATGATAATCGCCAATGCTTTGGTGGGCCAAAGCCTCGAGTCGAGATTTATTCCGTCAGTACAGATTCGTGGAGAAGTTCGGAGTGTGAGGTTCCTGTTTTCTGTGACAACGGACCCGCGGTCTTCTTGAATGGGAATCTGCACTGGATTGCTTTCAAGTGCGATGTTGCGTGGGATGAGCGTGGATATGGATCGATAGTCTTGTTCGATGTCGCAGGTGAGGTGTTTGATGAAATGGCTCTGCCGGAAGTTCACGTGGACAAGGGCAGTTTGATGGTGTCTGTGGCAGTGTTGCACGACTCGCTGGCTGTGTTCATAAATCTCGTGGATGCAATTTTGTGTCCTGGACGGCATTCCACTTGTTCCATTTGGGTTATGGGGGAGTACGGCGTGCCTGAGACTTGGACTAAGCTGTATACTTTTGAGGCTTGTGGACTGGTAACAAAATTTGATGGCTTCACGAGGAATGGCGAGCTTCTGATGGAAATAGATGCTGGAGAACGAGTTTCCTGGAATCCAATCACGGGCCAATACGCAAATCTTCCACTATCGATCCATTGCGATTTGGTCAATGTCGTAGAGAGCCTCGTTTCGCTTTAAAGATGATTCGATTGCCATTACATTTACCGGTACGACAGATTGATTCTGCTGGCAGAAGAGTTGAAAGGAACATCTGAATTTAAGAAGAAATGATGTTATACATATTGACTCCGGCCACAAAATGAGAAGTAGAAGGATTGAGGTGGTGCCCCGTCTGCTTTTGGTACTTCTTGCAAGCTTTAGAATGCATATATGCATTTTCACATTTTGAGTTTTTCTTTAGACTAGGCAAAGTGTGTGCTCTCTTTGCAATTTGCAGCCAGAAGAACTTTGCGTTTTAGTAAGCCCAAATCAAAACCAATCAAACCCCGAAAACACGTATGCATATGAATTGTCATGCGCTCTCTGTTTCCTAAGAAGAGATGGAGGGCGAAGGGATCGAGATGGCCGGAGCTTGCATCAACAGCCATCAGAAATCGACGGGTTTTTGGCTCTTATCCTCCCTTTTCTACTGAATTGTAAGCATGGTTATGAGCTGAGGGGTGATGGTGGTTTTAACGGGAGAGATGAGACGAGGTGGAAATGGACAAACAAAGTATGCAATAGCAAAGAGAGAGGATCTAGGCCGAATCCACATAGAGGTTTATGGGACAAAGCTAAACAAAAGCCCACATACTTATAAATAAGGACAAGTGCATACACAGCACACAGATAATCTGTTTAAAATGAAATATTCGGACTGTGTACTCGATGTGCTTATAATTGTCTTAATAATTTAATGACTGGGACTGTAAAAGTCAAATCAAGATGAAAATCAAAAGACTATTCTTCCTTCATCTTAGTTGTTTTGACCGTCGCCTCATCGAAAGAGGGTCACTCTCGTGGTCAATTGTATGAGGCCTGCTTGTGGTTTGGCCCGACTATATTTCAACTCAAATGCGACATTTTAATTTAGAGAAATTTCGTTCTAACTCCAAACTACTAAAAGAATCACCTGTCATCCCCAAAAAGGAAATACATGAGTTTTTAAGACATTTAGGGTGCGCATGAATACCATTCTGTGCCCGGGAACTATTTCTGAACAGAAATGATTTTTTTTTATTATGTGCCCGGAAACAATTTCTGAGTATTTGAAGGCGTTTGATAAACTGTCCAAAATTTCTATTCCTAGAATAGAAAAGAACAAAAATGCGTATGGTAACTACACAAAATTTACGTTCCCAAATAATATTTTAATAATATTTTGAATTGTTTAAATTTTTTTCTTTCTACCCATTTTCTTCTTTGGCCATGGCGGCGCCGGCGACCGACGGCCGGCCGGCCATGCGCCAGGGCGGCGAGGGCGTCACGGCCCTCGCCGGCCGCCGCGAGAGACGAGGTCGCCCTCGCCGGCCGCCGGCGAGGGCCGGACCCTCGCCGCCCGGCGAGGCGACCTCGCCCGAGAGCGGCAAGGCTCGGCCTCACCCGAGATCGGCGAGGCCGAGCCTCGCCGTCGCGACCCACTTTGAACGATGTCGGCGTCGCGTGGGTCGCGACGGCGAGGCTCGGCCTCGCGGATCCGGGCGAGGCCGAGCTCGCGTCTCCAGGCGAGGCCGACCTCGCCGTCGCGGCCGACAGCGAGGCTCGGCCTCGCCCGGGCGGCGAGGATCCGCCTTCGCCCTCGCCTCCGCGGTGGCCGGCGAGGGCCGTGACGCCCTCGCCTCGCCGGTGGCGGCGAGGCCGTGACGCCCTCGCCCCACACTGCTGGGCCGGTTCTGCCGCAGCCGCCCCAATGAAGAACAACACAAAAATAAGAAAAGAAAAAAAGAAAAAGAAGAAAAAACGATTCTCAAAATTGTGCGAGAAACAGGAAACAACTTTTTTCTTCTTATTTCTCTTCCAAAATCAGCTTTCTTGGCACAAATTTTTGCAAAAATGTGCCCGGGAACAAAAAGTTTACCAAAAGCATTTCTGTTCCCAAACTATTTCTGGGAACAAAAGAACAGAAATTTTCACTGTTTGGCATGTTGCCAAACGGGCCATTAATTGGTGAATACCATCTTTCCATCAAAAGGCACCTTGAAAAGTTCATACGAAAAAATTGCATGTGACTTAATCCAAACCATGATTCTAATTGAAATGCAAATGAAATTTAGTGAATAAGACGAAAATATAGAAATTTTTTTTAGCAAGATATAGAACAGGTTTAATTTGGAAATACATCAAATTGAGACCAAAGACTAAACAAATTGAGTTCAATTTGTCAAGTCCTTATTTTTTTCTCTTTTTTTAATCTTTAAATGCCCCTAATTTCAAAAGACAACCCATATAATTTGTTTAAATTATGTCGGCTGATTGGTTAGACAAAATGATGTGCTTTCTAATTTCATTTTGCAAGAATGGGTTGCTATATTTTGAATTATGAGTCAATAACTTGGAAAAATTCCAAATGAGGGCTTAAAGTGGTCCTTGTGTCAAATAAAGACATGAAGTGTCATTATTTTCTCAAATAAGGATCTGAAGTGGCTATAACAGTTTCAAATAAAAGCCTAACCCCACTATCTCATCGGTCAACTAAATTTTCAAGCCGGTCAAGGTTAATTTTGTCAAAAACAATTTTAACATAAATTTTAGTTAAATTAAATATAATAATAATAATAATTTTTATTAAAAGAAAAAAGAAAAAATACCAGCAGGAGGGCTAACTCCTACTTGTGGCTACTCGATGGCCGGTGGAGTCGTCAACGCCTTAGCGAGGGGCGATGACCCTTGCCAACCAGAGGCGAGGGCAAAAGCGGGAGAGGGTGGCGACCCTCTCCCAGATGTGGACAAGGGTTGCCGGCCCTCGCTCGACATCGGATTTGGCGAGGGTTGCCCTCACCGGCCAAGCTCAGGCGAGGGCAAGGCGACCCTCGCCTGAGTCTGGCGACCGCCGCCTACCATCAACAAGCCCCGACAATGGCATGTGGAGGGAAGAGGAAAAAGAAAAAAGAAAAAAAATGAAAAGGAAAAAAATGAAAAATTATTCAAAAAAGTAAATGATGAAAATGCCCTTTGACCATCAAAGTCAAGTCGTTTTTTGATATTGATATAACCACTTAAGATTCTTATTTGAAAAAAATAATGGTACTTCATATCTTTATTTGACACAAAATTCACTTCATACTCTTATTTAGAATTTCTCCCAATAACTTTGTGCAATAATTCCATTTACTCTGGGCTCTATAATATATTTCCCATCATAATGTTGTATTTCTGAAGTTCAATTTAATGAGTTTTTGCCACAAGGCTTCGTTTCTTAGCTATGATAAAAGTCGAAATACGACAAAAAAAAAACGGTTAATACCACGAAAACCCTAAACTGGTAGACATGTGACAATTTTAACAAAAACTAGTACATTTATGACAAATTTACCTTCCGTTAAATTGACTTAATACCACGAAAATCACAAATCGGTACATCTGTGATAAATAGAGGGTAAAACTCTAAATCAGTACACCCGTCAACTGGCACATGTCATTCAACTTAGAAATTTGACGATAAAATTTAACGAAAAATAACGGAAAGTAAAATTATCACAAATATATCAGTTTGGAGTTTTTGGTAGTCAATAAATTAATTTAGGCTAAATTTATTATAAATGTACAAATTTGAAATTTTTTGTGATATTAATCCTAAAAAAAATTAGTTAAGGCATAATGAATATTGTCTTCTTATTTCCATAATGAATCTTATTTTCACGTGTACCAAAGAGAGCAAATAAAACTTGAAACCTTTATGGTCGCTAAAGACCGAGATAGACGGCCACGACAAGATAGACTGCGCTATCTTCTTCTCTTCTTCTTCTTCGTCGTCGTCGTCGTCGTCGTCGTCGTCCTTCTTCTGGCCTCGGTTTCAGACACTTGCATTGCTTTTGCGGCGAATGCAACCGCGACTGATTATATTCTCTTTCTAGAGCGTGGCGCGATGGTGGGTTTTTCTCCGCACAGCCTCTCTCGAGCTCGGCTCGCTTGCCACTGCACCCTCTCGCTCTTCTCCGGCCGTCCTCTCCTTTCTTGCCCGAACGCCGCTCGCGTCCCGTTCCGTCGCAAGCATGGCCGAAGAAGCTTCGCGTTCTTCGGCGGCCGCCGTGGGTTCTCCGTCTCCGCCGCTTCCGGTTCTCCAGGTACTGATGCCGCGTGTCCAAAACCATTGCCGGTTGGAAATTCTGATGGATATGTGCGTGGCCAATTTCGGGTTTTGAGAAATCGGCTCATAGCTTTCATTTACCTGGTAATGTTGAGGTATTACTCTGCTTTGGTGCTGAGAAATTGGAAGAATTTGTATTGGCTGAATTTAGTGGTTCTTTACATCCAATTATCCGGGAATTCTTAGAGATTTGGACTAGAAGTGGCATGTAATGTGTAGCTACTTTTCTTCATCAAATTGCAGTAGTATCATTTTTCATGGTCCTTTCTTCAGTCCCCTTTAGCAGCATTTGCTTGTTCTTCCCCCACTCTCCCCTCCACTTGGTAAGTTGCAGTTTAGTGTTCGCGTTTGCTCCTACTCTGACATGGTTTACTGGTGACCCTATTTATAGTTAGACTGAGGTTGTCTCTGAAATTCATATATGATTATCTTTTCAAGGAAATTCCCAACTGAGCAATTTTAGTGAAATCTTTTGATTTCTTGTCGAACCAACCATATATGAAATCATCGATGAATGTGATTTCGGATGCTCTGAAGGAAATGCAGTAACAAGTGGCTGCCGCAATTGCCTATTACCTGATCATTGAGTGAAAGATTTCAGTTCATCTTAATGGGTTATGAGATGTATAGGGTTGTCTAAGGAATTGGCTAAGACCCAGTTCCTTAGCGATCCATAATCAATTTTTCTTATCAACTAATTTTTAGTTATAAACTGCAATTTTTATGGGTGGGGTGCAAAATGAAATAGGAAAGTAGCAACTTTGAGAAGGAGATAAAGAAATGGTGGGTTTATTGGAATATTATATTACACAGAGGGACTTCTCCAGTCAAATGAGAGCTTCTCCTTGTATTGTTCTCTTTTTGGCTAAAGCAGGGAGGATTGCAGTTGTCTACAGCAGTCTTAGTGCTAAATGAGAATAGTAACATTGTGTTGCTATAACTCTTTATTCATTTGTACCAGAAAAAGAATTTTTTTTTTTGCTAAATGTTTTGATTATACTTCTTTGTCTTTTCATGTATTATAAGTGTGAAATGTGGTTATGGTCAAAGTTTCACTAAAATCTTTTGCAGCAGACCTTTGATTGTTCCTTAAACTATGATTCCAAGCTTTTTCTTGTTTTAATAAAGCTCCTGTAATAAGGCTAGGTTGTTACTGTACCAGTTTGGCTGGCATTAACTTAATAGCTTCAGTGTTATTATTTTA